CGAACCAACGATCCCACTGACTCAGCCAGTTGCCTATGCACCGTGCTTGTTATATATTGGCATATTATGCTAAATTTCTATAATTTCTATAATTTATGACTGTTCCAAAACTGGATGAATTGTGCCAAAAGTGCCTCTGAGAATGAAAATGCCATAAATTACAGTATTGTGCATACTTTTCCATCACTGATCGAAATCCATTTTTTTGTTTAACAAAAAAACGTTTAAAGATATGACCAATAAAGTTAGAGGGATATGACGAATAAAAATTTTATTTCTGCTAGGGGCGTGCACTTTATCTTTAAAAGTAATAATATTAATAATGTTTCCCCCAGGGCTCACATTAAACTGCTGTAAAAATTACATAAAGATCGGTTTAGTACTTTGCCATTAGGCATTTTTTTCCATCGCGATATTTTTCTTAAGATTGCTTTTAAACGAAATTTTAACGCAAATCAAACAAGAATGTTATGTCGAATATACTTTATATTTTGACTTCAGTGCCAATTCGGGGCCATTTTTTGGAAATCTATGTCTTAGTATGTTTCAACTACATACGGTTTTTCAAAATACCTCGACCCTGGCGCCACCTAGCAAGACCATTTTTTCGCAAAAATCTTTATGCTTACATAACCAGTATGTATTTAAAAAGCGTAAAAATTAGCCCGTATATACATATGTTAGATTAGACTTTTATTTTTTTGTTTGCGGTAGACCTTCCGATGAAATGAACCCATATGCAACAATCTTTCATTTCTGGTTGATTCAGGCACACCGTGTACGTATAACGAATGTTCAATTTTTTTTGAACGTACATATGAACAACAAAAATTATTAATAATCAATGGTAATTCTTAGCCACTTAGAAAATCTGATTAAAAAATTCCAAATTTATGTTTTTGTAAATTAGCTAAAAAAAAAATTTCTTAAAAGTTCTATTGCACTCATTGCGAAACCACATAGGGCATTTTGACTGACAGTCACTGTGTTTATTAGTATTCCTAAATTTTCAGCATTATTAATACTTGCTCCCACTTTCTTTTGATTTTTTATAGACAAAAATATCTTTTGGATCCAAAGTATATGACAAAGCGAGACATGCAACACTATTATCGCTACTACCACAGCGCAGCAAAAGGTCAGCGAAAATGCAGAAAAGTTATTTTCCTCGTGTTTTGTGTTTGTTCTGTCGCTTACTTGTTCGTTGACTATAATCTGCGTTCAAAAATCATTCAGCTTCGTGATCGCTTCGAGTTTTTAGCTCGTGTTGACGCCGACTATAATGTTACACAAGCATACTTTGTGAATACGCCAGGTTGTCATATGCCATATTTCGACGTCACCAATTATCGAATTCTACAATACATGGGTGCGCCCCCCAATCTGACCTGTGAGAAAGCACTTACTAGCACAAGCGAAATCGGTTCTCGTTTGTGGTGGACAATGACGGATGAGGAATTGATGCACCGTTACAAGATAAACGATACCAAAAGGATCAAGTGTCATTATGCTTCACTCAAACGCAATCATTCATTAACAAACAGTACTTTCGAAGGAGCAGTTCCATTTAAATTGGCTTACAATCAATCAATCGAAATTTCTCCTGAGACTGAATGGATAAGAGTTCGTTGTTCGCATAGCAAAAAAAAATACTTTTACGAAGATTACCATTTTTTTGCTTTAGATAAAAGAAAGCCCACGGAGAGTATACAAGCAAGGTCAGAAAAAATTTCCGAAAATAAACGGCTTCGAAACATAAGAAATGAAGAAAAATTAAATGTTATCTCAAATGCTAATAATGACGGCAAGTATGAACCTAGTGAACATACACAAAAACTGTCGGTAATGCTTCTTGGTATCGGTAGTGTATCACATTTAAATTTTTTGCGGCACATGAAACGCACCGCTGCTTATATTCGCAAACGTCTTGATTTTGTCGAGTTCTGGGGTTTTAATAAAGTAGGTGACAATGCCTACACTAATCTAATTCCACTTCTTACTGGCCTGGCGGCAGATGAACTGAAATTATCTTGCATGCGGCCGAGGGAATTACAATATGTAGATTATTGTCCATTTATTTGGAAACGATTTAAGGGAACTGGATATATGACGGCTTTCCTTGAGGATGTGGGCAAAACTAGTTTATTTAGCGCGAACACAATCTTCAAACATAATCCAACCGATTATTATATGCGACCTATTGTTATGGAAATGGAGAACAACATTGGCTACTATTACTCAGTAAATGTTGATTTATGTATGGGAGGACGTCGCACCGTTGATTTAGTACTTGAAATGATCCATAAACTAATACCCTATCTTCAAACTGACGACTTCTTTTCTCTGTTTTGGTTAGTATCTATGACTCATGATTTCATATATATGCCAAAACTTCTAGACAAGGATTTTGTTAGCTTGTTCGAGCGTTTTCAAGCCTCTGGTATTCTGAATAAAACAATCATTCTCTTATTGAGTGACCAGGGTATGCGCTGGGGCTCGTTTCGTCGAACTTACCAAGGCATGATGGAAGAACGCCAACCCTTGCTCGTTGCCATTTATCCATCTTGGTTTAAACAAAAATACCCCGAAGCCGTTGCCAATTTGGAAATCAACTCGAAGCGATTAACGACGTCCTATGACGTATATGCCACTATATTGGATCTTCTGAATTTAAACAAT